CAAAATAGCAGCTATGTCTTCACCAACTAATAAAAAGGAAACACAGGCTTTCTTAGGTGTTGTGGGTTTTTGGAGAATGCATATTCCAAATTACAGTCTAATTGTAAGCCCTCTCTATCAAGTTACCTGGAAGAACAACAATTTCAGAGGGGCCCCTGAGCAACAACAAGCCTTTGAACAAATTAAACGGGAGATTGTTCATGCAGTAGCCCTTGGACCAGTCCGGGCAGGACAAGATGTTAGAAATGTGCTCTATACTGCAGCTGGAGAGAATGGTCCTACCTGGACCATCTGGCAGAAAACACCAGGGGAGACCCAAAGCTGACCCCTGGGGTTTTGGAGTCGGAGATATCAAGGATCCGAGGCTTGCTATACTCCAACGGAAAAAGAGATATTGGCAGCATATGAAGGGGTTCGAGCTGCCTCAGAAGTGGTTGGTACTGAGACACAGCTCCTCTTAGCACCCTGACTGCCGGTGCTGGGCTGGGTGTTCAGAGGGAGGGTCTCAGTGCAATGGATGCCAGGTGGAGTAAGTGGGTTGCACTGATCACACAACGGGCTCACATAGGAAACCACAGCTGCCCAGGAATTCTGGAATTGATCATGGACTGGCCAGAAGGCAAAGATTTTGGAATGTCGCCAGTGGAGGAGGTGACGCGTGCTGAAGAGGCCCCACTGTATAATAAACTGTCAGAAAATGAGAGGCAATATGCCCTGTTCACTGATGGGTCCTGTCACATTGTGGGAAAGCATCGGAGGTGGAAGGCTGCTGTATGGAGTCCTACATGACAAGTCGCAGAAAATGCTGAAGGAGAAGGTGAATTGAGTCAGTTTGCAGAGGTGAAAGCCATCCAGCTAGTGTTAGATATTGCTGAAAGAGAAAAGTGGCCAGTGCTCTATCTCTATACTGACTCATGGATGGTGGCAAATGCCCTGTGGGGGTGGCTACAGCAATGGAAGAAGGGCAACTGGCAGTGCAGAGGTAAACCCATTTGGGCTGCTGCACTGTGGCAAGATATCGCATCCCCACTAGAGAATCTGGTTGTAAAAGTACGTCATGTAGATACTCGCATACCCAAGAGTTGGGCCACTGAAAAACATCAAAACAACCAACAGGTGGATCAGGCTGCCAGGACTGAAGTGTCTCAGGTGGATCTGGACTGGCAACATAGGGGTGAGCTATTTATGGGTCGGTAGGGCCATGACACCTCAGGCCATCAGGGAAGAGATGCAACAATAGAGATGGGCTCACAGTTGAGGGGTGGACTTAACTATGGATACTATTGGACAAGTTTTCTATGAATGTGAAACTTGAGCTGCAATTAAGCAAGCCAAGTGGTTGAAGCCCCTCTAGTATGGAGGGTGATGGCTGAAATATGAATATGGGGAAGTCTGGCATGTTGGCTATATCACACTCCCACAAACTCGCCAAGGCAAACGTCGTGTGCTTACAATGGTGGAAGCAACCACTGGGTGGCTGGAAACATATTCTGTGCCCCATGCCACCACCCAGAACACTATCCTGGGCCTTGAAAAGCAAGCCTTGTGGTGACACAGCACCCCAGAAAGAATTGAGTCAGACAGCAGGACTCATTTCCAAAACAACCTCATAGACACCTGGGCCACAGAGCATGGCATTGAGTGGG